CACCAGAGGAATTGTTCATTCGAGAGTTGATCTAGTTGAACTGATTTGAATTCTTTTGTCATCTATTTGTGACAATTGTATAAAAATATTGTAGTTGTTTTTTTAAATTCTTTTTCACTTTGCTCCATTAATTTAAGATCATGATGGTCCTAACCTGTGTTTAATTAATCCTCTAATGCCCAAGTATAAAACCTTTGGCCTTAGAAAATATCTGGAAATTTCAAAATACCTGTACACCCATATTATGACATCAAGCAGTAAAAATACGAAACTTGATGGGGAGGCGCCCGACCGCTACTCCACAGATGCCGATCCCCAGTGTGTGAAAATATGTGTACATCTACACACGAGCCAAATAACAAAAACAACCCAAAAAAACAACACAAAAACGAGACAGTCATCATTCATCCTGATTCGCTATAACGCAAACCGCTATTATAATCAAGAGCTGGACAACCCAACGGCCTGTCTGTCTGCCTGTTTCCTCATTCTGTGGCACCATCCGATAAACTATCAGCGACACATCCGTGTGATTATCAAACTAATCGTCGCTCTCATTCCCCCCGCCTCTGGCACTATTACAGCCATTTTCATAACACTCCAGACCACGGCCTCAAGCGGGAAATGTGAGGGGGGACTCTCAAAGCGAATTTGAGCCATTACGCTAGTGATTCTAAACGTCCAATAGATCGTTTTTGTTTTCAAGATGCGTGAGGTTAAGAGGCGATCAATGGTCGTTTTGTCATAGCGGCTTGCTCCTTTCCGTGTCTCCTTCTCGTCGCCCTCCTGTCCCCTCCAGCACTGGCTCTCTGCCATTTTCCCGCCTTTCGCTTACATCTGGATCGTTCTCAACTGCTTAAGATCATGACCAGAACGAACTTCCCACAGTTTCATCGTAATTATCATCGCTACTCTGGTGGACTCCAGTCTTCGCGACAAGACAAGGCAAGACAGAAAAGGACCTCTCTTAAGACATGAATTCGGACGTGGTCTCATAGTTAATTTTTAGGGGGATCAGCAACGGGTGACTTTGAAGTAAAACACGTCGTTGTTGTTGTTCGCGTTGCGTTAATACAAGTCAGGCAGCAGAAGAGGATGGGAAACTTTAAGGAGATAGCAAAACCCATGACAAGGAGTTTGGGGGGGATTGGAGAAGAGATGACGGGGGAAAGATACAGAGGAGGTCGATGTCAGATGTGATGTCTTCATCCCAGCTGTAAAATTGTCGCCCAGTGGTAATGGCAAGATGGTTGATTAATTTTTGGGTCTCCGTTGTTTTGTTCACTATTTAAAGTAATTCTGTACTGGACATTAGTCGTTATCGTTGTTATTATCTTTATTGCTATCGTTATTATTGTTATCAGTTTTGTTACTAATTTTATACTCATCAATACTATTCTAATAAGAATAAATATTATGAAGCCACCCAACTAAAAGTCATATTAATTAAATCTAAATCGTCTTGAAGCACTGATTAATCCTCATTAAAATCAGTTAAAACTGTGTTCTGTGTTTGTCGCGTTACCAGAGAGTTTACCAGTACTATGGTATTGACTAGTTTGATATCACTTGCTTGACGCAGGTCTGAGACAGAATATAATATGGCGGCATGTTCTTTTTTTTTATTTTTTCAAAATACCCAAACTCTCAACGCTGAGGAATACTTGCTGAGAGTAGCGAAACACTCTTTTTTAGGTGAGTTTGATCGATGTTGTTCTTCTACACCACAACAGGTTTCTACTTTTAAAAGAGAGAGAGAGAGAGAGAGAGAGAGAGAGAGAGAGAGAGAGAGAGAAAGAGAGAGGGAGAGAGAGAAAGAGAGAATGAGAGAGAGAGAGAGAGAGAAAAAAAAAAGAAAAACGTGTTATGGCACACGCTATGGACAAGTAGTGGGATCATCAGAATTAAAATTAAAATTGGTTGTGTGTAACCAGGAATGACCCACAATCGGAACTAAGGTATTTATAATTTTATATATATATATATATATATATATATATATATATATATATATATATATATACTTTATTACTGAGCCAATGAATATGTTCCAATAACATGTCTACAGTATTCACCCTGTAATTGTTTTGACCGGGGAAAGAGCCGTACATTTTCTTAATTACCCAAAGATGATAAGTAATTTTTGTTTGTGTTTCAGTCATTCTTTTAAATCGTTTTTATTTGACACCTCCATCGATACATCGATTATTTATGAGGTGGGCTGTTTCATCCTGTCTGTCAGGGACAACCTGGACTGAATAGGATATGATATCTGGACAGGAAACGGAGATGTTTAATAAAGAAAACAAACAAGCAAACAAACAAACAAGCAAACAGACATAAACCAAAAACTTCCTCACTCCCGGAATCGAACCCGCATCTTCTGTGGGCAAGGCCAAAAACCTTAATATTATAGTAGTACCTGGTGCGGTGGCGCAGTGGTTAGTGTGCTCGTCTCAGAAGCGGAAAGTCCGGGTTCGAGCCTCGGTTCGGACACCGATTTTTTCCACCCCCTCCTGCCCACCCAGCAGTAATGGGTATCTGACTTCGAGTTGGGGAAGTAAAGGCGGCGTGGAAAGGAACTGGCCACCCTACCACAATACGACGAAGGTCCAAGAAGTTGTCTCACTAGCAAGGCAATCCCCAATGTCCGGATCGGAAGGGGGAATAACTTTACTTTTTTACCTGTCCAAAACATCCAGTGTTGAGGAGAAAAGGGGTAATCTCACACAAGTGGTTCTCTTGGACTGGGCTATTAAAATAAATTGTGAGGCATGCTGGCAAAATGAGTTACTTCTCGCAATCCACAAATGGAGATATTGGTTAAAAATCGACATTAGGGTCAAATTTGCAGATTTTCTATTGATGCCATATTCTTTAAGTATAACATGCCTTTTATTATTTCATACTTATAAATAGTAAAAAATTCACCGATAAGCGTGACGTACCAATTTCCATAGGGCTCGAATCCGAGAAGTAACTCATTTTGTCAATATGCTTCATAATTATTATTTTAAAAAGAATGGAAGGGGGACTTGGAAAGTGGTCGTTTGTTCAGGTGATGGCCGTCGACAGGTGGCTGTTAGAACAGGTTGGATCGCAATTGCACCCGAAACGATGGTTTGTTTTTGTTTAACGCAACAGTACATAAGACTGGATAGTTTCAAATAATAGCCTAAATTATGACCTTTCCGTTGTAATATTTCCACTGTTTAAAGCTTGCTACATCAACAGAACCTTTGTCAATGGGTGGTTGGTGGGTGCTCTCGTGTGGTTTGCTCCTTCTTTCCGATCAAACATCTGTCGTCCTTATCTCTCCTCTTTCTCTTTTTTGTGTTTGTTACTTTCTTGTAACACCTCTAATCCTCGGCATTTATAATGACCTAATTGCCGAGTAATGCTTACTAAAACAAGACGAACCTGTGTTGATAAATAAGTACGAAAGGGAGTTAGAAAAGTAGTAGTAGTAGTAGTAGTAGTAGTAGTAGTAGTAGTAGTAGTAGTAGTAGTCTAACTACTTATCTAACTACTACTTTAGTTTTAGTGAGAGTTTTACGTCACTTGCAACACAATAAGGTCATTGTGAGGCAGCGCGGTGGAATCAGGCTCTCGTCAATTTTTGGGCATATTGAGTTATTGGTATCATCTTAAAGCTTGTTCATTTGTCTTGCTTTCAATGAAAAAATTATCCACCCATCTTCTATAGATGATGAGATATTTTGGATTGAACAAAGTGGGGGTCACCTAGTTTAAGAGGTAAAACTATTGAGAAAATGGCTGCCAACGCTAGGTAAATTCCAAAGCTGGAGAGTCCATGGACACTGTAACTTTATATTGTTGTGCCTTTAATCAACGTTTTCGGTGAAATCCTTCAAGGAATGTGTTTGTAAATGGACATAAAAGGTGTTGAGCCAAAAAACAAAAATTTGATAAAAATTGCTAAGCAAGGACAAAACTGCTGTTTTCTTCGATTTCATTATGTTGACGAGAGCCTGATTCCACCACGCTGCCTCACAATATTATAAAATCGAAGATTAGAGGTGTTACAAGAAAGTATCAAACACAAAAAAGAAGTTGGAAAGATAAGGACGATAGATGTTTAATAGGAAAGGAGTAAACCACACCAGAGCACCCGCCAACTACCCACAACTACTTAACTGGTTTGCTGGGGTTGTCCAGTTGCTGACTGATAGGCACACATGAAAAGCGGTGTTGGAGAAGCGCTTAATACCCCCCCCCCCCCAAAAAAAAAAAACCCCAAAATAAAACACACACAAAATCCCACTCACCCACCATGACATCATAACAAAAAGCTGAATGGAAATATTTTAGAAAGGAAGATGAAGATAATCCGGGTAGCCGACTCGTTTTTTAATCTCTTCCGATTAGCAGCTCAAGTTTGCAGTCTCCTGCGCTTTTGCGGTTAGGTTGGATTTTTCTTTGTGATACACGATTTTATTTTATCTTTAATAATCCACTCTGTGGGTTGTTGTGTGTTTTGTTTTTTTGTTATGTTTTTTTTTTGGGGGGGGGGGATTGGTTGTTTCTGTTTTGTTTTGTTTTGTTTTTTGCTTTTTTTTTGGGGGGGGGAGGGGGGAATTGTTCCGTTTGACTAAACTCTTGAGATTAGTATTACAGTAGTTATGAAAAGTGATGAAAATTATAGCACATTCTTTTTTCAAAAGTATTGGAAACGTAGCGCAATAATGTTATTGAGCACAGTTGTAAGGACCGACAGTTTTGGACTAAACCATCGATAAGATACAGTTCATTATCAATTCAAACAGGGGGGGGGGGCAGTACATTGTAATTACGTCGCAAATTAAAGTGTTAAATATTCTTTTTGAATACTAGGTGTTGTGCACTACTTTCAACATCATTTAGAATACAGGAGGCAGGCTGCTTCCAACCTGGCTGTCAGGACCAACCCTGGCTGAGAGGGATACAATGTACAATACCGCAGCAGACAGACGTTGATGCTCTATACAAATCCTCCCCACATGGGAATTGAACCCACGTTTTCTGCATGCGCTTTCGAAGTCTCTAGTCGCTACACCGCAGATACCGGTAAATTAAAATGTGCTCCAAAAGCGTACACATAAAGACAAAATAAGCAAGGCTATCATCACAATTAACAACCTGCTTATCAAGTAAAAAACAATAACCAGACGGTTGAAAAATGTACCGGGTATCTTAAAAGACACACCAATCCCTCTGTCGTTATTACTCTGGGTGAATGACCCCGGTTCGAATTCTGAATGAGACCGTCTTCAACTTGAGCTGTTGAGGAAATTGTCATGGCTTTAGGAAAATTACGAAATTCTATAGTTTCAACGCCCCTTGCAAGACTTTAACATTATTTAAGAGGTGGGATCTCCGAATTGTATGTTCGCCACTGATAGAACTAAGCCAAGTGGAGAAAATCCGTGTAAAGTGCCTTTCCCAAAGACACAACGTTGGACGATCGAGCTTCCAGGCTCTTCAAACCAGTGAAAAAGGAAGGCGTCACAAACTCAAACTTACAAAAACTGAAGTCTGGATGGTCGTTACGGGAGGTATTATGTATCTTGTCTGCAAAGGCTGTCCGTATTTCAGAAATCATAGATACAGCATGCCTTAAGTTAGAAACCTTAATGGGAAAAAAAGAAGAAGAAATTCACAGACACAGGAAAGAGACTAAAATAGCACCTAGACATTGGTGGCTGGTGCCTCTATGAATAAAACATTGATTGTCTTGTCTGGTCTGGACTGGCAGTCCATTTAAAATTCATATTAAACGATTTGTTTAGAACAAAGTTTGATTTTTTTTTGAGTTAGACTGAAAAATTTACCAAACTAGGATAATCTGCATTTGTCTTTTTGAGTTTTATGTTCCCAAAGTTGTAGCATCTTGGAAGTACTCCTCCCAAAGATGTAGGACATTTTTCTGCCTTCCTCGCAGCGGCTGAAAATTATAATAGTGTATTTACTGCACAGTCCCACTTTCTTAGGTAGGCTACACATGACAATGTGATCTATCGTTTGTGTATGTGTGTGTGGGGGGTTCTTAAGCTTTTGGGGAGGGGATTTTTTTTTTTAATTTGGGAGGGGGGAGGGACGATAGACGGGGAGGTGAACTAGGATAGTTGTTAGTCAGCTTTTTAGTACATTCATTTGTTTGCTTGTCTGTGTATTTGTTTTAATACTCCTTTAAGTGCTTTCTTCCAAAACAACCAGTTAACCTTATAAGAAAACCTTTCCCCAACAACACGTACAGACCGGAGGAGTAGCGGGCCCTTCCTCCAGACCTCCAGACCTCCAGACCTCCAGGCCTCCACAGCTCCAGCTACTCTTCTCATATTTCCCCCCATCCCCCACGACATCAAGAAGTTCTGTAAGGCGGCGTCACCCGTGAGGCTTTCGCTTTGATGTGGCCCTCCTCCCTCTTCCTTCCTCCCTGACTCGGTTCCAGCGCTCACTCTTCGCCCCGCCCACTTTTCTCCTGTCTTGCTGTCTTCTGGCGACACCAGTAATCCAGCGCCATCCCCTGGCACCCTATACCGTAATTCCTCGCATTAGCGGATCGATCGGATTGGCCAACTTCGTTTTTAAAAAGCCGCTTCGAGCTGAGACGGGCATGGGTCTGTTGAGTATTCAACGATGACGCCCTTTTTGTGGTCATAAATTGTGAAATAGCCGAAACTTGGTGATATACCAACTGAGGTACACAGAGAGAGCGACAGAATCTTGATGATTTTATGCGTTTATTGAGATTTTTTAGAAGACAGAGAAACACCAAGAAGCTTGTATCGAAACAAGGCATTCGATTCTCTGTGATTTGTAAAAGTTATTGCAGCTGTGCTTTGAAACTTGGAAACATAAGTCTCTCGTGGTCTGTGTCACACTAAACGGTTGTGTTTACTGAGCTTTGATAAACATTCTTAACATCAAGAACATACAGTGAACTTAAGTGGGGATTTGAAAGATTTGAAAGGATCCCCACCTGAACAATATCATTTATACATTTGATTCCTTGTAACTAAAATGGATTGAGACAATAAAGAAAATAAATTTGCACTTTATTCATAACGCTCAAAAGGTTTCTTTTATATTTATATTCGATTAAAAACTATGCGAAAGTGAACTGGACTTTCTGTTAAAAAGAAAGAATTCGTCCACCCTTGAATACCCTGACCAGAAAAAGACCGACAGACTGTACAGTAAACAGATAGCTCATGATGTCTACAACGACAAGAATTGCACCGAAAAGTATGTATTCTTATTTAATATTATCATTATATGTGTTGTTGATTTGGCCTTCTTTGAAGAATCTATCGCACTTTAATACCAACTGTTTAAAGACTTGTTGCTTCTTTATCCGTGTGACTTCGATGTTGCTTTCTTCTAGTATTCAAGACTTTGAGAATTTAAATCTACACCTCCCCCCCCCCCAAAAAAAAAACCCCACACGTACACATACGCACGCACACAAACACACACACATACACACACAAAGAGAGAGAGAGAGAGAGAGAGAGAGAGAGAGAGAGAGAGAGAGAGAGAGAGAGAGAGAGAGAGAAACACAAAAGATCCACCTTTTCTGAAAATTCGCATGTGATTAATTTCCACTCGCCTGTGACGCCACTAACGTTTAAAAAATGTGCGTTTACTATTTAGGGGATTATTATCATCATATTTTGTTAACGTGAAAAGAGGGGGTTTTTTTCAGTGCTTATTTTGTTTATTTGTTTGTTTGACTTTTTCTCTTTTTTTTGGGGGGGGGGGGTGTGGAAGCAAAAGAACAATTTCTGGTTTAAGCAATTTTCAAAATTTCAACCACCTCAACTTGTTACGGAGTTTGAAGAGATCCACTGGTGGGTTCTACTTCTTTGTACGATCCCTCACTTCTCTCTGTCTGTTAGTCTTGCTTTTTTTCCACACTTTATGAATGTTATTGCGAAGATATGCGTCTCCATCAGAAAGACAATGTATAAAAGAAAAGTCTGTCTTTTCGCAAATTCTGACCAAGATAACAACTTTTCTTCTAATAATTTTTTTCTACCCCGGAATAAGACAGAAGCAGTACAAGAAACGAGAATGATATCGGAATACGATAGCATGAAAAGCTTACTGAATCTTCGGACTACTTTTTTTAAACGATGCGTTAATTTTATTGTAGTACCCTCAGCGATCTCAGTCTTTCGGCTATCTCACATCCCCTTCCCCCTCTTTCTCTCTTTCTCTCTTTCTATTTCTTTATTTTCTATCAATCAATCTATCTATCTATCTATCTATCTATCTATCTATCTATCTATCTATCTATCTATCTAACTATCTATCTATCTATCTATCTATTTATCTATCTATCTATCTATCTGTCATACACACTTGCGAGTAAGCCCATCACAAATTTCATTCCAAGTCGTGGATATAGGTGTCTTTTTTTTGGTAGAGGTTTTACGGCTCTCGCAACAGCATAATGTCATATGAGCGCAAATATGATGGTCTACTCGTACAAAGGAAAGTATAGATTGGATTGAAATCATATTTCAAAATTGTTTTAACAAAGCAAAAATAAAAAAATAAAACACATTTAAAATCCATTATCCAGCCTTTCTTGTTGGCTAGGGTAGCTAACCAGCTATCATACGAGTAACCAGTGTGTTTGCCTGGAGAAGGGTTCAAGGTGTCGAAAGCTTTGGATATTACAAAAAGGGCGTATTTTTGTAGCCAGTTCAATTTTGAAAACGTTGATTTTTAAATTGTTCAAATATCTTGGCCACTTTGAAAGATAAGCCACATTTTGTAACAGAGGGTGTAAAAGCAAAGTTTGGAGAAAAAAACAAATTCCTAACTCATTTTAACTTTTGATGAAGTACAACATGTTGCAAAGATAACTAATAAAAATATTAAGCCTTAAAACATTATAAAATCCTTTCAATATGTTATTAAGAAATTGTTTAAACGTGTGTTGTCTGCTGTAGCAAACTTTTTACCGGTACGATCTCTTTGGCTTTTTCATCCTGTTGTCCAAAAAGATTTTTTTTTAGGCGAACAAAGCGCTTGATCTATGTAACTATCTTAATCACTAAGATGTTGTAATGAACACATCAGCAGTAAACGGTCCAGTCTTGGGTTTCACTTCAAACTTTTCTGGGATAGTGTCAATTAATGTAACCACTGGTGTTCTTCCTGATACCAGGCTAATTCCAAGTAGTAATCGTCAATTATTTAACTTAAAGTCTGTCAGTATGGGGGGGGGGGGTTACTTTTGTGTGGAGGTATTTTTGGTGTTCTTTTTGTTTGTTTGTTTGTTTGTTTGTTCAATTGTTGGGGTTTTTATTTCTTTGCTTGACTAGCTGAGTGACTGATTAACTGTTTATCTGTTTGTCTGTCTGGGAATCTCGTTGTCCATATGATCAGATACTCGTGGAAATGTACACCAAGTACGAGTTGGGAAACGTCTTTCACATCATGCATTTACAGTACAGTAATTGTGTGTGGGGGGGGGGGTATTTGGGTAGTTATTTATATTTGCATGTGTTTCCCTGGTCATATATCTCTCTATATAACATCTTTTTTTTTATTCCGTTCATTCATGTGGACAATTGAGGCAATTCTCCAGAAGTTCACCGTAAACAGAGCAACAAGACGAAAACATAATTGTTGACTCGTTCAGAAATCTGTCTATTTCAATGTTTATATTGATGTTCTCATTTGTAGGCCCGAGATTCTGTCTCAGTTTTAAAAAGGCGCTGGAAATCCCATCAAGCGTGGTGATAGCCCGTGATTTACAGCAATTAAGTCGCTGGCAAACCCTTCAAGCCTTACAGCAACTCGCTGACAACTTGACACATTTTGTAGAAAGTTCTTCCTCTGGGCAACATAAAGTCCTTCAATCACACAAGGCTGAATGCTATTTTACCTGTCTCGAACGAATCTTCATAAAGCGCCGAGGTGTCAAAACGTTCATAGCTTTAGCCTCATTAAACCTTCATTAATTTTTGACAACTTCTAGAAATTGTTCATGAAGTTATTTAAAAGACTAAATTGCCGAATTAAATTTTCTGCCGACTGACATGGTAATCAAACTTGGCAATCAAACTTGGCAATCAAACTTTCAGACAGCGTGTATTTGAGAACGGGCACAAAACATTCTGTCCCCTTTGCCCTTCTGCTTGACCAGATAAAAAATCAAAAAGTAGAAAGCTACATTGAAATGAAAGTGTTTACATGTCCAAAAAAAGAAAGAAAAAATAGATTGAGTAGCAACATGCACAACGAAACGGCAAATGCGTATTTCTTTTTCTGTTTTGAAACTAATAAATTAATATGATTTCAATATGTAGAAATCTAGAACGTATTCTCTCCTTTGGACAATTTAAGCATACCACACAATATCTTTGAGCGGCTCTAAGTCTAAAACATTGCACTTTATTGTACAGTGTACAGAAGAAAACAAGGCAGAGATTACAATGGAAAGCATTCAAAACAAGAACGGGAAAGTTATAATTTAGTTTGAAAGAAAACTGTCTTCAGTGTTATTATTTTCCATAATGTGGAATTGTGTCAAAAAGATAGCTCCAAAAAGGGGAAAGCGGGAAGGGTTTGTCGGTGGCATATCTATGTCCAAGGAGAGAAAAGCAAAGATGATGAGATAACTCTCAAAAATATTAAATATTTACAGTCGACAAAACGTATCTTTCAGTACTGTTTTATTTCTCAAAGCTAGCTTCATAATCCAGTCGCAAGTATGTGTGTGTGTCTCCCCACGTCTAAGTAGCTTGAGTGACATAAATTATGGGATGAAAGTTGAAAGATGAGTTTTCGTCAATTCAATGAACACTTTTGAAATCATCAAGTACTTTTCCACGCTTAAAAGAGAAACTAGCCTTATAAGGATCACGACATCCAGCGTTAATCTCCAAGGTAATAACAACCCCAATGACAACATATTAGTTTTGCTTTTCTCGATCATCCTCTCTTTTGTCCTTCAACTCTCTTTCTCTCTCTCTGTCTCTGTGTGTGTGTGTGTCTCTTTCTCTCTCTCTCTCTCTCTCTCTCTCTCTCTC